CATGTCATGATCTGACAGCTGAAAGTAAAGTCTCTTCTCCAATCCACCCAGTCTTGCCCTCCTTGGAAAAGCAAATGCCTACCTTCTTATAAGCGCACTTTACACATGAAATGCAAATGTATGTTTATGTTGAAGGTAGGAGGGAGATAAAAATAGATGGGGCCAGAGTCTAATTGTAAAAGTGAACAAAAATACTTCTTTATTCTGTTAAATATTTTTATCAAAATGTGTGTGTGTGTGTGTGTGTGTGTGAAAGAGGGGGGTAGGAGATGTGTGTGAATTGTCTAGAGTATTGTTTGTGGTTATTCCATTGTTGATCCTTATTTTTATGTACTATAAATTTTGAAATATTTCTAATAAAAAGGAATGTTACCCATTTTTCTTGTAGATTAACTAAATGTATTTCACTGTGTAGATATGAACCTTTGTAGCATGTTAATATGGCCCTCTTTTAAAAACAGACTTCATAGGTACTCAGGGTAAACTGATAGTTATGAAAGTATGGAGCACTCACTAACTATTAAAATATTAATTATTGGAATATGATGGCAAAGGTAAAACATGACTCCAAGGCATATGTACCTTTTAATGTCATTAAAATCATCTGTCTTTAAAAATGATTATCCCTTAAGACAAAAACATGAATTAACTCCCATTAAACTTTTGTCCAAAAGACACTACAGAACATATTATATTGGCAGATTTGTATGTTTTATTTCTCTTGGTATAGTAGACTGCCAAAACACTAATAAAGCAAATTTGTGTTTGAATGCAAATAATCCCTAGAAAGTTGGCTTTGCTTATTAATGGAATTAATTTTCTGCCTTCCCAGTACGGCTACAGGCTACAGCAGTTAATAAAGAAAAAGTCAAAATTTTAAAACACTACACTTCATAATACAAACTAATTCTACCATACAAAGAATACATAAGAAAACATTGCAGTAACAATGTCGCCTTTTTTACATAACAAGACCCTCTCTGGTGAAAGGATCTTCCTGTCACTTTCAAACAGGACAGGAGAGACCACTGTGTCTCAGGAGAGCTGTCACTTTCCTACAACCAGAATCCCAGATTATTTACGCCATATGAGTGGTAGAACTGAGGCTTGCCCTCACAAGTACCCCAAGAACAGAGAGCATTCTGATGTCCTTTGCTTTATGACTTCAATAGCTATGTCTTGGCAGAAGGAATATCTTAGAGCTGAGTCATTTCCATAATGCTTTGATGCATTCATTTGGTGAGTTAGTTCCCAGTGAAATAAAGCTGTAAATCTTGCCACAGAGAAAAGATGTGGTGTGGCACATGTCAGTATTCTGTAACTCATAACCTCAGGGAGACACTCAGATGTTTTCTCTAAAAATCATACAGATTTCATAAAGATCAGTTTAAGAATATAATACCTTTAGAAGATATAGGTGGTTACATGAGAAATTAATCTGAGTATATTTATTACTTGCTTTGTATTACTATAATAAAGCCCCAGAGGTAGTTATAAGTTTATTTACCCCACCCTGTGGGACATGTTAGCATGCAATCAAGGGCCTGTGTTGCTTTGGGCATATGATGGGATTACCTGGGTTGCAAGGACTGAGAAAACAAGACAAAGCAAACCATTTATATCCTGAACCACAAAGCAAATGAGTAGCAAGGAAAGGGTGGTTGAGATCCCACAGTCCCCTGGGAATTCTGTCCCCAGTGACCTTAGTACCTTCCATTTGTTAGGCAGCCCTGAGGCTCCCAGTAACCTCACCATGGGGACCAAGCTTATAACTCATGGGCCTTTGGGGGAATTCAACAGTCAACTTCGGCAGCATGTAAGCATCATAGATCCATCTATTCATTCTTTGGTGAGCTTTAATAAGCTCACACTAAGGGCATATATGCCACACCTATGTTAATATGGAAGAATTAATGTAAATAGGTTGAGTATATGTAGTCAGAACTGCTTGGGACCAGTGTAACAGATCTATAGTGTTTGATATTGTTTTTTAATATTTGCATAGAATACTGGTTGAATGTCCAATATCTCAAATTATTTTTAAAAATCTAAAATGATCAAAGTCCCCACTCACAAAATAAAAATGTTAACATTGCTTGCACATTCAGTTTTGAATTTCAAGGCAATGTTTTTACTTCAGATGGCATGTAGATAGTCCTATGCCCATAAAGAGATGTTGGCACACCTACACAGGAAACTGTTTCACTGGAAGAACTGATGAATCAAGTAGGAGATATACCAAGATCTGACTTGATTATTTCAATGCCCCTGTCAAACACAGTTTGTCCTATTATAGCTGTTTGTACACTACTCACAGTGATTTATTGATGAGTCTTGTTTGCCCCAGCCAGCAGTGCTTCAACGTGGTTCTAGACCACCCTAAGGACAGAATGATAGAGACAGGAGATACAAAGGAAATACACCAAGTCTAGATTCTGATCAAGGTGCAATTTATTTCTGTTCAGGAGGGTTTATATAGTTCCTGCAGGGTGGGGGAGCAAGAAGCTGTCATCTGCATAAGGTGGGGCAAGCTAACAGGATATTTGGATAGGATGTTTACAGGGTGAAAGGGTTGGGCTCTGACTCAATGTCCTGTTGGTAGGCAACCTGACTGTAAGATAATATAGTTCCCTGTCTTATGGGGGTCTGTATTTTTCCACTAACTAGAGATTCTGTCCTTGTCCCTGATGCTTGTTCACATCACTGTCATTAACCTGATTATCTGAGCCCTGCTTGTTATGACCTATGTTTTCAACAACAACAGATTTCCAGAAACACTGTCTTTACTATCCCACATTGTTTAAGCTTCATCTTAAGTATAAAACAAAACAAATATAATATTTGCCTATGTACCAAATAGAAATGTATTTAAAAGTTTCAGTTATCAGAAGTAAGTCTCATGACTCCATATTCTTTTCTACAGAGAACCATAGTCTGAAATCCACCTTCTCTGGGTGCTCTTTCATTGGTAAAAAATTAAAATTAGTCAACTAGAACTACCAACTGGACCGTCATGAAAGTAGAGCTAGCAGCAGCAACAGATTCTAATTCTATTTTGGTCTTTGCTTGACTTGACAGTTTCTCCCAGAAAAAGTGTTATATGAAGGTAATACGCCCTGCAGGGGTTCTGTGGTTCAAAGGGCAAGCTTTGCAGTTACAACCCGACATTCAAACAGTATACCAATTTAGATCAGCTCATGTTTGCATGAGATAAATTTCAGAAGCATCATTTTGTTACTTTTAAAAATAGTTATATTAGTAAATAAATTACAACAAAATTCAAATTTCATGCCGTGTAAATTTTCTTTTCCATTTCCTCTCTCTTCTTATTTTTTACTTTGAAATTAGGTCACTGGTATTACTGTACCATTAAGATTGAGATATCATCAAGTAGCGAGTTCTCTTTTATAATCTTACTGGAAATAAATGTGAAAGCTGTAGATCATGTGCCCCTTCCCCACGGCTGAGTGAAACAGACTCATTTGAGCTGAGTACATCACCTTACACAAGAACAGAATCACGCCAAGTTTTCATCATAGGAAAGACGAGATATCAATATAACATAGCTCAGCTGTAGAACGGTCTTATTCACTGTTTCCCTTTTGTAGCAGCTGGGAAAAGACCTGACAATTACATGCTCTACTCAATGTTTACTTTATTCTGATCTGAAGCCATGCAAAACACTCCTGATTATGAAAATTTCACTCCTAAAATCGATTAGAAATAGATTTATAGAAATATTTCTTGTTGAAAATCAAAGAAGGCTAGGGATATGGCTTGGGAGTAAAGATCTTGTCTTGCTTGGAGAAGGTCGTTCTCAACATGGAAGCATTAAGGGAAGGATGAGGTCAGAAGAAATATAGTGTATAGAGCAAGTGAGATTAAACTAGTCATGCTGCGTATACTTTAGACTTTATAAACTCACAGCTAAAGAGAAAGTCAATCATTTTGTCACTGAAAATATACCATTTATTACAAAGTTAATTTGTTTATTCCCCTACAACTCACCTTTTTGACTGGGGTAAAGGTAGTTTCGTGGACAATGGTGAATGTGTATGCAAAGAGAAAGGCAAAAAGCTGAAGGACCCGGGTGTTTGCTAAGGCCTTTGTCAGGCTCCTGGGATGAAGGCGTCAGGCCTAGTGAAGAGGTTGTACTCAATCAAAATTGTTGATGTTTTTAAACTATAAAATAAAATAGAAAGGGGATGAGGAAAGGAAGAAACAGGAAAGGAAATGAGGAAGAAATGAAAGGCAGGAGATAGGAGAAGTGAACAAATAAAAGATCAAATTTTGTTTAATATTTTTATCTTCCACTGTAATCACTTTCTGTGTATTTTTAGTCTTTGTTGCTTAAAGTTGTTTTGTATTAATTAAAAGCCACCCTCTCTCCCAGTCACTTCCCCAATATCAGGATATAAATATTAAGTATAGATCCCAGGCCCATGCTCCTACTTCTCTGAATGATGAAACCCTGTTCCCCAGCCTGACTCCACACAGACCTGGGGACCACCATTCTGTGCCTTTGACTTCTCACCCACCTCCCCTGCAGCATCTGCTCTATTACAGCACACACTTACTCACTTAACAATGTCCTTGGGCTTCATCAGTTTTATAGTACATATGAGGGTTTCTTTACCTGTTTTCAAGGTCAAACAGGATCCCACTATGTACATGTCCCTTGATTTCTCTGTCCATTCACTTGCCAGTGGTCCTTTAGGTGACTTTCACCTCTTGGTGCTTGTGAAGCACTCTCTTTCTCTCTCATTTTAAATTTAGTTGGAAATTGTCATGTTTTCCATCTATAGCCTGTCCACATTGTTGCCTTACTCTTTTTATTATTGTTATTATTATTTAGCAAAGATGGAGAAAATATACACATTAGCTTAATGTTCACTGTATGGAATTTTCTTACCCAGTGGCAGCCATGTGCCTGGCTTTGAGAGTGTGCAAGGTGAAGCAGAACAGAAATGTCACAATGACGCAATGCTGTTTCATTGCAGGACGAAACGACTCCTGCTGACAAACAGTGCAAGCCCGAGGCAGCCCAGGCCACCTACTCAACATCTACTGTTCCAGGCTCACAGGAGGTATTGTACATCAATGGCAATGGGACCTACAGTTACCATAGTTACCGAGGGCTAGGAGGAGGACTGCTAAACCTGAATGACACATCTAGTAGTGGTGAGTCTTTATAACAGATTGCATTCTGTACATTCGTTTGGGGCTGGTGTATTTTCTAAACCTGAGAGAAGAAAATGGTTGTACTGTTATCCATACTAGCCAGTGATAGTGGGGTGAAAACAAGGGCATTTGAAAACACAATGTTTGTCTTTCTGCCTGGATCTCTCTATACATTGTCACAGCTTCCGTAAGTAGCAGCAGTGTTGTTTGATTGAATGATTGCTAGATTATTATTAGAATAATTCAAAGAGAATAAGCAATTTTTCACAAGGAGCAATTCATTCTGCATCTGATGTTATAAGGTACAGTGTGTCAAGAATGATGCACTAGTTCACAGAGATGTGTGAGTTGGAGAATTTGAGGCATTGGGAACTTTATGGAATGTACAAGATTTTGCTAAAAACACATGGAATGGAACAACATACAGAAACTACCATGCCTCCTCAGCTAGTGGATGAGCATCAATAATGCTCTGTTATCAGTGAGCAGTGCCTAGAGCCAGCTTGTACTTGCTCATGCTTTTGGATTTCTTGTGTTTGTATGTCACAACATCTCAAATGAATCAGAGATTGAAAGGCTTGACACAGAATCAAGCAACTCTTGGTTACGTGATTACCCTCTGGCGGCAGGCTCCTGGTTGGTGTGGAGGTGTTGCTGGAGTCCTCTTGCAGGCCAGGTCTAGAAACCCTGGACTGAGTTTTGTTGAGTTCTGCCTGCCCCAGCCACATGATTTGGAGCAGAGGTGTTGCTCCAAACTGGAAAATTCTTAGTTAGTTATACTAGAAAAGATGAATAATTCAATAACAAATCCTTTAAAATGTAAAAGGTGGTGTACTTAACTTCATGGTACACAACTGCTAGAGAGGAGGTGGGGTGGAATAAAACAGTTTGTAACAATGATTGCTAACATTCACAAGACCCTAGTTTCAGGTCTCAGTCTTTCTACCTCCATCAGGATGCTCCCTAAGCCACAGCAAGTGGTAGGAATGTCATGTTTAGAGCCCAGTCATCAATGGTACCTTTTTCTTTGTGTCCTTGCAGCCATGGATCTTTTCATTGTCCCACTGACATCTGCAAAGAGAGATTTCTCTGATCAAGGCTGAGAGTAATCTTCTGTGGGTACAAATGCTTTACTTTGAGGTGTGATCTTCTCGATGGCTTGACACCTCTTCTTTTATCATTTAAAGCATTGTTCTTGATCTCTATTAATGTTCGTCACTTGAAAGTTGACTGCACCAAATTTTAGTCATTTCTATAATATCTGCAAAAGAAAATGCTAACTTGGGTTCCCTTGGTAGTGGGAAGGAAAATAAATGGAAGTGAACAAAATTAGAATAAACCAAGATAGTTTTATTCTTACACAACCTCTATTCCTACACAAGCAGAATAATTTATCTTTGTTCCATAAATGGCTAAATCATGCTGTGGGACAATACAATAAGAAAATATGAGGCTTCTTGTTTTTAATTAAGAGCCTCAAGACATGGATGACAGAGAAGCAGCCAACTGTGCTCCCAGACTTAAGGAGTTCTGTCCTATAGTGTGATATTTGTCTGACTTAAGAAGCTGTCATTAAAAATACGAAGAGATCCCGGTGGGAGAAATGTGTACAAAGACAGAGAAGGAGGAAAACTCATACAGGATTTCAAAAGCTGTTGCTGTTCTTATTCTTGTTGTAGCTGTTGCTGTTTTGTGAAGAAAAGAGACCAGTTGGGGTGCTGATCTTTACCATAGAATAGTAACAGGAAAGCTGTTCTTACATTTCAACTAATTATCCAAAGAGAAAGCAAAGTTGTCTTTCAAACAAAAATAAAGACAAATAAAACAAAACAAGAATCAAGTCTGGCCAGATTGTGTAACCATTTTAACTGCTGTCAGAAAAATAGCATCATCTAATTCTCTTGCCTTAGATCAAGCCTCCTGAGTTTCTTTAACTTGATGGTTCCTCTCTAATGTCGTTTGTTGCTCATCCTTTAAGTCTATTACTTAGGACTCCCAGGTGTACTCACACACCCTCGGAAAATTCATGAATTTATCCTGTGAAGTATATCACACACACACACACACACACACACACACACACAAAATCACCTTGGTGTCCATTCCTCAGTCATTGCTGATATTCAAAAGCCACAGCAGAATTCTAGAACAGATGCTAATCATGCAACTGTGTAAGTGGTAGAAATGCAACTCTTACAAATTCATAGTTTGAGTGCAGATAGAGCAATATTATATTGAGACCTACTTTTCTGATACTCTTTTCATCTCCTCCTGCTAAAAACCTCCAGTTTCATATAATGATAAAGACTTAAAGAAGCTAGAGGATCCTTTAACAGCAATCTCTTCCTACTAGGATCTCTGAATTTTTAATAAAAAAAGTTCCTGCTGACCTCTTATGTCAGCCAAAGCATCAGAGTGAAAGATGGATGTTGTGAAGCCTGGGAGCAGAGCGTGCTGGGAAGAGCCCCTCAGTTCTCTTACTTCTCTGCCGTCAGTGTTTACAGCCTACATTTTCATGTTATATACTATCACCCATCTTTGCTTCTTGAAGGTTATAAAATAAGAAGTAGACACAGGCAAGTTGTTGGCTAGCTTATGATAAAAACATGTAGATATGGGCCAGAATTATGAGATGAGGGTCACTTAAATACTCTACAAAGAATAATTTCCAAGCCCTGAAGACTGCCTGTGTGCTGTTGAGAAAGCACACCATGAGATTAACCTACTTGTTAACTATAGTTGTTTTTTTTTTCCTCTTTGGGGGCCCACCACCCATCTCCCAAATAAATACACAGAGACTTAATCTTACTTTTGAATGATCAGCCCTAGCTTGGCTTGTTTCTAGCCAGATTTTCAAACTTAAATTATCCCTTTTCACTTTAACTACATTTTGCCTCTGGGCTTTTTACCTTTATTCTATATATCTTTCTTTTCTTCTTACTCTGTGGCTGGCTGTGTGGCTGTGTAGCTGGCCCTTGCATCCTTCTTCCCTCCTTTTCTCACTCCTCACTTCTCCTATTTATTCTCTCTTTCTATTTCGCTCCCTCCTGCCTAGGTATTGGCCATTCAGCTCTTTATTAGGCAATTATGTGTTCTAGGCAAGCAAAGTAACACAGATTTAAAGAGTTAAACAAGTGCAACATAAAAGAATGTAATACATCTTTGCATCATTAAACAAATATTACACAGCATAAACGAATGAAACACATCTGAAACTATTATTTCGCAATATTTAACCTACTATTATTTGTAACGCTTTGAAAATGAGATGACTTTCTTTGAGCCTGTAGCTTTGGACTAAGTGTAACAGCAATTAAACAGCTAAATAAAAATCTTGGCAAACATCCTGTTTACCCTGACACTAAAGAAAATTGCTCCAGTGTAGAAGGAGTTTGGCATCCATTGATGGTGATGGCCAAGGGAATGATTAACTCCATACTATAAAGGGACTCAGAACAGCTTTTCATTCTCTAAGAATCTAGAATTCTCTTAACACTGGTATTGCTTACTCCTGTCTTGGTTTTGTTCAGTTTTGTTTCAAGTACAGAAAGACTACTAAGTTCATTTGGTACACAGTTTCATTTATCTTGGGACTCTCTCCATAAATTCTGTGAATGTAAGCTATTCTGACTTACGGAAGACCCAGTTCCCAGCACCCACATCAAGCAGCTCACAACCACCTGTCATTTCAGCTCCTGGAGGCCCAGTGCCCTCTTCCAGAATCTGCGGAAATACCCCCTGCAATGGAAATAATGAAATAGATATGTTTTTAAGGCAGTCTTTGTCTTGTTTAAATGTCAAAACCCTTTCAATTCTACCTTATTCTACTGCTTAGCTCATTGAACACTTTGCAGAGACAATCATTTATGTATTTTGGATGCTGGGGGGAGTGGTTTATATGATACAAACACAAAGAAGGCTGGAGATTCAAGTCTGTGGTAGATTATGTGCTTACCATATATCATTTCCTGGGTTTGATCCAGCACATAAACCAAAAAGAAGCAAAAGAATGAACAAGAAGAAAGTAAAACAAAAGAGAGGAAGATTCCAGTTGACTCATCAATGTGTAGGTCCACAGGGGTTTTTGTAGAGTTTTATAAACTCCCGTTTCATTTTGAATATAATAGCAGTTGGGAAATCTGGCCTACACTGGAGACTTCACAGCACAAGAAGAGTCTGTCTGTGACCATTGCCAGAGTGCCCTTCAAATCTTTTGCTAGCCAACCCACCATTTGTTTAGAGCTGGCAATGGCCTGCACCCAACAATCCAAATTTTCAAATTGGAGTATTATCAAAATGACAGCAGTTACAATTTGTATAAAGAATGTATTCAAATTAACCAAATGAAAGGAGCAAGAAGCAGCCAGTCATCCCATCATTATCCTTCCCATTGACATGGGGCATTCTGTCAGGAAGCTCACATCACACCATCTACAGAAGGCTATTGTGGCTCACTGCAGTTTCCCATTGGACCCCTTAAATCTAAATTATGTGCAAAAGGCATCATTTATTTCTGGCTGTTTCCTCTCCACACACTCCATGGGGAGTAGACTTTTTCAATCTGTTCTTCAACTGTGGTATAAAGTAGGCTGACATACAGATCAAAATCTACAGGACCAAGTTGTTGTAATAATGAGCCTTAATAATTAACATTTCTATGGTTATTTCTAGTCTGCCTGAATCTATGTATCAGTCATCTTCCTTGTTTTGTCATAACATGAATATATGCGATTTCTACTTTAAAGGTTCTTTTGATCAAAGCTTGTCACTGAGTCTAGAACAGATACACTTGGTCATAGGCCTACCTAGAGGTTATCACAATAGTCATACAAGACTGAAGCCTCGTTTTTTGATGTGGACCTTATAAGTCTAGCACCTCAGCCCTTCAGCCATCACAGCTGTTATGGGAAATATTCAAAGTAGTCCTTCCATTCATCTTCCCCTTTCACACTTGGCTTACAGTTTCCTTCAGTCCACTAAAGCAAGCTCTTCCTTACAGT